GAAGTAACAGCTGCAGGCTTCTTTTGAGTTTTAACCATGGCTTTGCACTTCAGTGGTAAGCTTGATACACTCAAAACATGAACAATCATTGGAATGACCTGCGTATGCTGGACATGCTGCCACACCAAAAAGCATAGCATGAAACTGTATGGCATGTCATGGCTGTACACCCTTGACCTCCACATGAAAGCCATTTGGCCTGGATGACACACATGACTCATGACATGCGCACATCTTTGTCACAAGCATGAAAGAAACTGACATGACATGACATGACATGACAGTATTTGGCATGAGATGTCATGGTACATGACATGGTATGCCTCTTTGGCACAACAAAAAAGCCACTTGGGCTTGAAGACTCACATGTTTGCTGTTTGCAAATACTTTTTGACTCTTCGCATCTTCAAAAACTCAACCAATACTGCATGGCTGCAACCTCACCCCAACCAAGCACCAAGCTCAACAAGCTCAACAAAGAAACAAAAGCTCACATGTTGACATCAGCAACCCAACACTGATACATGAATACATTTGGTTGGTATAGCACTATGTTGCATGCCCATGCATCTAGACTCTATATCATGCCCTCTTGGCTCTCTTTGCATCAGGCATTCTAGGATCACTTTTCTTTGTGACTTTCAAAGTCAATGGATCATGAGCAAGGATAGGGGCTGGATTGACCAAAATGGTAACCTCAATCTCTCCAAGCTCAGTCTTGAAGGTCAGAGTCTTCTCTTCCAAGTTGCCATCCTCAGCCCCTGTAGCACAAGCCCAATATGGTGCAAAGGTTCCTTTGATGGTTTGATCAGGATCTTCAGCTTTGGGAAGCTTGATAGGTTTCATGGCACTGATCCAAAAGCATGTCGCTTGAAATTTGCACTTTCCAAGCCTGACATTTGCAAGGTTGGGCACTTTCAAGGACAGTGATGATGGTGCTTCTGGGCATGGAATGAGCTTCAAGCTCTTGGCCTTCATGTCCTTCTTGGCAAACACCACCATCTTGGGTTGCTTTTGAACAAGGATATCACCAACATCTACATCTTCTGTGTTGTACACCTCCATGAGGGCCAGAAAGCACTGACATTTCACTATCTCCTGGGAATTGGGTGATGGAAACAAGTTGCTGAGTTCATCATCACATAGAAGTACTGGTGGCTTGGACTTGGTACCCTTCACCTTTTCAACCAGTTCCTCAGCACTCATTTTGACAGTGGTCTTCTTGGATGGCTCCAACAGTGGGTAGAAGACAAACACAGCCTCAGTTGATGAAATACTCTCTAAAGTCCACACCCTGTTGTCAAAGTCTTTGAGGGTGTAGTGGCTGCCTGGCTCTAAGCCCAACTTTAGCTTGGCAATGAACATGCTGTCTTTCCCCTCATCCAATGAAATTGGAGTTTGTGAGGTGGTCTGTTTTTTGGCAGCTGAGGGTGAACTGGCACTTCCCAATTCTGCATGGCCCTTGGTCAACTCTTGGTTGAAGAGGTCTGAAATGTCTTTCAAGGAGTACTTCTTTCCTTCAGAGCCAGACTTCTCCTTCTTGAAGATCATTAAAGTGGCCCTGATTGCTGCAATGCCAAACACCTTGTAGACATCAGCTTTCTTCTTACCACTAGCAATTTGGGACAAAGCACTGTTCCATGCCATTTCCAAAAATGCCTCTACCTCAAGGATCATGGTGAGATTCTTGGGGGACTTGAGGCCAGTGATGTCACTCTTTGTCACTAGCTTAGCCACCCCATCAGTGCACTTACCCACAACCACATTGGTGACAATAATGGCACTTCTGATCATGGTGAAGAACTTGGACTTGGAAAGGTTCACCTCTGTCAAGGTATTCATGCACTCTTCACCAATGGTTGCATTCTCACCAAATGCCTTGCCCATGTGCGCCAAAAAGTCAACAAGACTTCCATCAGCTCCACCTGCAAATACCCACAAAAATGAACAGCCATGAATGAACACTCATGAACAAACTTTAACCATGAAAACCTCATGAACCAATGAATGCATGTGAGTAGTAACATGAGCATTCATGAGCAATGAGTGCCACTGGTGCAACACTCATGAAGAGTGCACGCATGCAATACAACATCAATAATTGCATGCCTCCATGCCTTTGCACATACCTCCCCACCATAGGTGCATAGCTCTTGATGGGGCCACCAAGGCAAAGTCCATCAGCAATTGCAGCAAAGTCATGCTTTCCATCTTTTGAACTTACATTCTTGACATGACTCACCACAGCTGACATGAGCTGGATTTCATTCTGTGCCTCATATGTGGCATTGGTGCTGTTACATGCAGCTTCAATCAATGCTGGGAGTTGGGGGAACTTGTCCTCCACAATGGACAAAATGATTGTCCAAGTCCACCCTGTCTGGACCATTTTCTGCAAAGAAGGATCCTTTGCAAACAGGTGGCTTCCCAAATGACCATCTTGGCTGGCCAACTTAGCTTGGGGGGTCCTGCAAGAGTTCTTGATGGATTTCATGAACTGAGTAGTGTGCCCTTTGCTGACTGTCATGAACCGCTCTGCGCCAGAAGGAATGGCAAGGAGCCCTTCACTTGCAAGTGCAAGGTCCTTGGTAAACTTGATTTGTTCATCCTTCTTTGCTGCTGACATCTCAAAAGCAACAGACCCTGTCAGCTGGGAAAGGTCTGCACCCATGGCGCAAATCATAGACCCCTTGGCATGACAATTCCATGCATTTATGCCAAACCCTCCCCTGTTTGAGGGGTGCACCACAAACAGCTCTGGTGGCAGCTCTTGCTTGTATGCCAATCCATTTGACAAGAGTATTTTCTCAATTTGTGCCCATTTGTTGAGCAGCCCCAACCCTGAGAAGATGATGTTCTCCACATCCTCGATGACATCGCTGCTGATCATGGTGAAATCAGCAGAGCAAAACACAAATGCTACTTCAAACTCTGGTTTGTGCAAGAAACACTGCAATCAAATGGTTGACATGTCACACATGCATGCAATGCAGTGACAATGAGGTTTGGTGGGCAGCAATGAAACAATGTACATGAACCTCACAAGTGTTGAGCAGGCCATGATATGACATGAGCAGCCTTGCATATGCCAAATACAGGCGGTTGCAAGTGACAATTCAAACCACATGACAATTAAGTGGTTGCAAGTGTTCTCAATGCTGCATGATGCACATGGGTTACTACACAAAATGCATGTCAAAAGGCATTGCTGAAGCCTCAATAGGCCAAACAGAAACACATAACAATGACAAAACCCGTGCATGAAATGTTGCATGAATTATTGACCCAGGGCTTAAGGCATGCTTCTTTTCACACATCATACATCAGCTCATTACCAATCCATGTACATCAAGTCCAATATATGTACAATGACACCAGCTTGATACCTGGTGAAGCCCAGTTGATCTTCCAATCCTCTGGCAATGGTGATCCTGAACACTGTCGCAAATGGTTTCCCACACAAACTACTTATACATACTTTCATGATATGTTAAAACTTGATTTTAAAAACTCTTCTATATGCACAGTCCAAACCACCTTTCTTCCCAAAGGTTCTCATATTTGGCTGAGAGCCACCATGTACCATGCCAGAAGCCAATGCTAAAGCGAGGTTGTCCTTCATGCCACCACTGCATTTTCATATGTGCTGGGAAGAGGGCAAGCAATGCCTCTTCAGATCTCAAGGGCCAATACTGCATGCTGGCAGACATTGGATCTGCATTGCCCATGGCTGAGTCCATGACAAACAATGACAAAGTGAAAGGCAGCTGCAACAAATCTTGAGCACAGAATCTCACATGAACATGAACATTAACACATGTCAACC